CTTCAAGTATTTTTGTCCCACTATGATGCCTGAAAAACATGGTAACAAAAAAAATTTATAACCAATCAACCAATATCCTAAAAGTTATAACCAATCACATAAATTATCATTAAAATTTTCAGTATCATGTCTTTTCTAACATCATAAATTTTTCCATAAAGTCTGATTGATTACCACTTTTATCTGCTTTGATGCGGGTTGGTTGGTTAGTTATAAGTTTTTCCAATATTATGTTTTTGTTGTATCGTAATATCATAGCCTAATACATGGTTCAACCACTGACCTACAGTGAGAACTTTGTTATAAAGCTAAATTACAAAGACCCTCCTATATTATGGGGTTAGTGACAAATACCCCCCTCCCCACTTTGTGATAAATACCTCCTTCTATTAGAATTATATAAATTGATTTTAAAAAAGATTTTCATTCAGCTATTTACAATTTTTTAAATTCTCAAATTATCCTTTTCTTAGTTATTTTATTGATTTATAATTCAATTAGTTTTCTAATTTTTTTCGCCTTGTGCCCCAATAGGGGCTGTAAATCATTCTTTTTTTTATATAGTACAACACTTTTTCAGCAACTATTTAATTACTCTTCTCCAAATGGTGGCCGGGAATTGAAACCACATATATTCTATGACTACCCAGTTTACGTTGAGCCATCACTCAATTGATTTCTAATATAAAATTCTAGCCCTCTCGAATTGCTCTAATAAACCCTTGAAGATTTTTGGCTAGAAACGGTAGAGGTTTTTTTCAAATAGATACAAATGTATGGTTTTATTTGGTTTTTCTTGATTTATTGAAGAAATGAGTGGATATTTTTTTATATTTTAAAATGAATAGAGAAATTCATGTGAGTAAAATGAATAAAAAAATAAAAATATTTTTCTATATGCCAATAAAATGATTGTTGTTATTTTAGCTAAATTCGTTTTGAGAAAATGGAGGTATTTTGGTCAATTAAAGTTTAAAAGAAGGGTGGGAAAAGGAAGAAGTGGGTAATTTTTGGCCAATTAAGAGGTATTTATGGCAAAGTAAATGTTGGGGTCTTTGTCACAAATGAAAGTTAAAAAAGGATATTTGTGAGTGACTCCCTAGTAGAAGAGGGTCTGTGTAATTTATCCAAAATTAAAATGCTTTTCTTAGGGAAGAGGAAGATCTCTGCTTTACGCAACTGTCAGGTTGGGCCGATCTGGTCGAACATTGATAAGCCGGTATCGATGTTGATTTGTTTCAAGAAGGATCTGGGTTTGACCGTTCGAGAATTTCAGCATTTCTAAACAGCAATCGAGATCACACCGGTCCGTTCGTTGTGATCCCTTCCTACATTTCAGGCTATAAATTGCATCGTTAACTCTAGAACTTACTCCCATCAAAAGCAAAAGCCTCGTCGCCACTGAAACAATGGCCGCCGCCGCTCCTCCACCACCTCCCGCCCCAACTCCAGAACCTCCTATCTCCGCCGCATTGCCGGAAAGTCCACTTGGAAACCCAATTTTCGTCAGAATTCGACTAGCCAACAGGGACGACGTCCCATACATACACAAGCTCATCCACCAAATGGCGGTATTCGAACGCCTCACTCATCCCTTTTCCGCCACCGAAGCCTCCCTTTTTGCCACCCTCTTCAACTCCCCTCCCTTCCAATCCTTCACCGTGTTCATCCTCGACGTCCCATAATTGAGGTTGGTTTATTCTTTGTAGCTTCATTATTGATAAAAAAAAAAAAAAAAAAAAAAAATTGCTTTTTAGTTATATTGGTTTGTTTTAAACTTTTAATTGGAGCTATATAGTCCATTAAGAAGTTATTTGGATGAAGTAAGTTAGGGGTCAATTGATAATAGCTGAATATGCTGAATCGAAAAGACTTATTGTTTTGTCTTTTAGTAAATAAGTTCTTAAGGCTCAGTTTGGAAGGAGTACAAATGCAAATATGTACGGTACAAATACAAGCAAAATAATACAAAATTCAAGGTTTTGCACTCTACATATTTGCATTTATACTCTTTCCAAACTGAGCCTTATATGTATAGTACAAATACATTCAAAATACAAGGTTTTGTTTTCTACATATTTGTATTTGTACTCTTTCCAAATGGAGGTTAAGGAGGTTGTGGATTCCTTAATGGCACAAACTGAAGTTGGATAGATTATTATACCTTTGAAAATTTTATCATTTAATTATTTTAACAACTAAAATATTTCAAAAAAATTAATAGTAACTCCCATTAACAATATTTCCAAAAAAAATATCCTTATTTATGCCTTAAGCCTTGCACATGACAAGGCTAAAGGCTTAAAGGCATAGGCCTCTAACAGCTCAAGGCCTAAGCCTTGGCAATGGAGAGAAGGGCTATTGAGGCCAGGCTTTTTTTGGTCATCCTTGCCTTGAAGCTCAAGCCTTTGGCCTCGCCTCAATAGCCTGTTAAAATCAGTCTGGCATAGATCTATCAACCGAGTGGTGGTTCAATTGGTACGTTCACTTTTATTGGGTAGTCCCTTTGTGTTGCACTAAATATCAAAAGGAAAAGGTCTGGCCTAAACCTGGATTCAAATTTTACACTATTTTAGGTTCGTTCTTTGGACCATTTTGATAAAAACTCAGTCTGAACAGGCCACCAAGAAAATGGCGAATATGATAAATGTATACGTGCAAATAAAGAATAAAGATATATAAATTGACATTATATAATCAAAATGTTATGAATTTTGTCATTCCCCACGTCACAACTATAGTTGCTGAATTCAGTATTACTACAGCCACTGCACCACAACGAATACAACACAGTGGTGTCTTTGAAAATTTCAAGTTTTTCTTCTCCACGTTTATTAAGCAGATATGTCTCCAGTGTTAGCCGTGCCGCCCTACCACACCAACAGGAGCCAAATGGGAGATTAATTTTAGACGGAGATTGCCAACTGTCAACGAAAGCTGCCAATGACGTTTTATGTTTGTTGTGGTTGGACGCTTTATATATATAACGTGTAATTTAGCCCAAATACACACTCATAATAGCCCACCAACACAGAACATAAATAATTCAAATAAACTGTATTGACATAGAGTGATCGAGTCACTTGTTTCTCTTTCTCCCACGACACAAAAAAGAAAATAGGATAGACGAGATACACCTGATGATCACCATCGTTTCTTGACTTTTGATGGCTGCTTCTTGACGCTAGCTTTTAACGACAAATGAGAGAGAGAGGACCAATTTCCAGGTTTGGGGTCTCATCTGTTTAAAATTTCCACCTAAATGCATGGCTGGCTAGTTGTCGAATAGGTCTATCATTGGGTCGGATTCAGATCGAACCCAGTTACATTTTGAGATTCCGATTAAATCCGGATACATTTTATTCTATCTAAAAGAAAAAATAAATAAATAAATTTTTAAATTAATTATCTTTCTAAGTTAATTATATAATAAAATCACATGAATATAAAATGTTGAATTTATTAATTATAAATTTTATATTATTACATATAATATCTATATCTATATCCATTTCAGGCTTTTACAGCTTTTGGGCTTTGGCAGAAAGCTGTTGGATTGGTGAATGGAGATTTTAATATGATTTTCAAAATGGAAGATAAATGTGGAGACAAGCAGGTTAGTAGAGCCACAATTGCAAAGAATAGAAAGTTTTTGAGAAGTCTAGGTCTAAAGGTCCTTGTCAGTCATGGGCCCAAATATCAAATATACTTGGACTAATAAAAGAGAGTGTTCAGAGAAACTGGATATGTTTGTGGCAAATGAAGACTGGTTGGATGTTTTTGAGGAAGGTAGAGTTATGCCCCTAGGCCCTAACCACGAGAACGAGGGGCTTAAATCATATTCCTATTTTGCTTGAATCATCCCCAAACCTAGGTAATCATAGGAGACATTATTTAGATTTGAAAATATTTGGGAATCTCATTAAGACTATGTAAATGTGATAAAACCTTGTTGGTCTCAACACCTTAGAAACGGAGGGTCAAGACGTCAAGTTGGTGTGATAAAAAATTTGCAAGAAGTTAAAGTCTGGGCTCTTAAAGTGGGAATAGAAAAGGTTCTTGGCAAAGTTCAGGACAAGATCACAGCCCTACAAGCATATCTTAAGCCCCGTTTGGTTTGTAAGAATAGGGGTCTGGAATCAGAATCAAAATGAGCTATTCTAATTCCAACTATTTGGTTGGATGGAATCAGAAGGTATTCCCCCTATTTGAGGGAATGGTCATTCCCTGCCTCTACATCATTCCTACTAATTTCAATTCTCATTCCCATTCCTGTCTGAGCCAAACAGACTATGGGAATGGACCATTCTAATTTTGATTACAGAGGATCTTGATTCCGATTTCAATTTTGACTGTGAACCAAATGGACCCTTAATTTTGAAAGGAATTAGTCTGAAAGCTCCTACAACCACCAATCAAGGGTTCAGGAGCTTCAAAATTGATTAGATTTGGAACTGGAGGGAATAAGCTTTATGGGACAGTGATGTGGCACTAGATAATGGGTACCAGTGCTGAAAACATTTCTTGAAGCAATGGTACCAAATAGAAAAAATTGTTGTTGTTCCAGGAAACGTCCTACCTAGCAGCAACAATTCCAAACAAAAATAAAGTCATCGTTTTCTAAGAAAACAGTACTCCAAACCACACATCAGTCGATGCCAAACATATACATAGTTAAACAAATCAAAACCCCATATGAATCCTTTTATCCACAAATCAGATTTTCCGATTGTTTGGTGTAAAACAACAAAAGCTCATTGATAATCCTAATCATCTAACATATGGCCGACCAATACACAAGGATATCTTCAATTCCATTTTTCAAAAAAAAAAAACATTTTAGAACAATTGATCATATACTTTTGTAGTTTTAACCAAGAACACCTCATACTAGAACATGTATTGCAATTTCTTTCGGGGTCATTAGCTTTATTTTATTCTAATTTTCAAGAACAAGTAGGACTAATAATCCCCTTTTGACACTTCCGATTTGTTGCATCTCCAATAGGACTAATAACCACATACAGGTACGTACAGGAGATGTTCCTGTCGTGATGAAGGGAGGATAGGGTTCTTGTGGGTAAGAGATTTGAACGCATTTGAGTTGAGGGGGAAAATGTCCAATGTGAAAGGGAGACATCTACATCTCCTACTCCATTCATCCATTGCTACCTGTTTCTCTTTGTCCATCGTAGCTTATCCTTCCTTCACATGTCTTTAGCATTCATACATTAGACTCCATGTGAAAACTATGAAACAAGGGATCCCCATGACCTGACCTTGACCATGTGTCCAATCAAAGTAGACTCTCTGTCTTTCCAATTTGCAGGTCTTAAGTCTTAACGAAAGAGATTTTCTTTGTGCCCAATCCCACTCCCTCTCCATTCTTTCCAACAGAAAACAAAAAACAAAAAAAAAAAAAAAAAAACAGAAGAAGAACTAAGAGGATTTAGGGGAGAAAAAGAAGTCCAAAGGGTTTACACAAGCCACCAGAGTATGATTTTTCCTTTGGTTACTCTCTCTCTCGAGGCGCAGATTAGCAAAAGGCCAACAATTAGCGCATGTTAGCAAGTATATAAAACAAAAACAAGTAGACAACTTCGATATTTTATTAGAATCCCGACCGTCTTCAGGTAATGGCTGAATGACTTTTCAAAAATTCCAATAGCTTGCCCCACTGTGATTGTACTTGCCACGTGTCAATCTAAAATATATAAATTAATGAAAAGAGACTTGTCAATTTGTCATGGCTTTCGTTTTTTTTCTTTGCACTTTGTGCAGTAGGAGCGGTTTTCCCAGCAGCAGCAGAAGGAACAAGGAAGAGAGAATGCCTCCAGATCTCTATGATACGCCTCTTCACATGCGCATTTTAGCAAAAAGTTGAGTCACATTTCTGCTCCGCCATCTTCTTTCTCCTTCTCTGCTCTGACCCTAACCGGAGGAACAAAAAACCAATCTCTCTATCTGCTAAAACCCCATTGACGAATTCTTTGAACCCCTTCTCAATCTACAAATCTCTCTCTTCTCTCCTCTGGCAGTCTGGTCGTCCGCATGTGCAAATCCAAAACAGATATCGATGCAGCGGAACCGGCCAGAAACTCGCGAACCTCCCGGACCCCTCGAACGCCCAGAACCCCTCGGCGACCTTTCGACAGCCCTAGAACTGCGAGATCCTCATTCACGAATCCTTCAAGCAGCTATAACACTAGCGGCAATTACACGATCGGTTCCAGCTACAAAGCTTCATCGGCAACTTCGATTTCCAGCAGAACTTCCCTCTCAGGCCTCCGACATACCTTACCTGAGAAACCTCAGTTCTACGACTTGTCAGAAATCTGCTCCGCCACCAACAATTTTTCCAAGCGCCTCTCCAACGCCACCTGGAGATGCAACCTGCAAGGCAAAGACGCCATCATCTTCCAACGCAAGTTCCGCCGCCCAATCGAACCACTGCAGCTCCGCGAACGGCTTGCCTCCATATGCAGAGGCCATCATGTCACAATCATCAAGCTTCTCGGAATTTCCATCTCCGGCGACCACATCTACCTCGTCTACGAATACGTCGAAGGCGCTAGCCTCGCCGATTGCCTCCGGAACCCTAAAAACCCTAATTACACGGTACTCTCTACCTGGATCTCGCGAATGCAGATCGCAACGGATCTCGCTGACGGTCTCGAGTACATTCACAGCAGCACAGGCTTAAATGTGCGTTTCGTCCACAACCACATCAAGAGTAGTAATGTAATCGTCACGGAGCCTTCACTCAACGCCAGAATCTGCCACTTCGGTACCGCTGAACTGTGCGGAGAAATCCCCGAAGACGAGCCAAAAGAACAGAGCGGGGAGATTACGGAGGAGAAACCATCGTCAAAATACAAAAGATCAAACAGCCGGGTGATGAAAATCGAAGGTACGAGAGGGTACATGGCGCCGGAATTCCAAACGACGGGGATCCCGACGCAGAAATCCGACGTGTTCGCGTTCGGAGTGGTGTTGCTGGAGCTTCTATCGGGAGCAGAACCTCTCAAGTACATGGTGGATAGGGAGAGGGGTGATTACAAGAGAATCTCCGTGATCGAGACGGCAACGGAAGCGGTGGCGATGGAATCAGGCACCGACGGGGAGGGAAGAATACGGAGATGGATCGATAAAAAACTTAACGATTCGTTCCCGGTGGACGTGGCGGAGAAGATTACACGCATCGCCGTAGACTGCGTACAGGTGGAACCCGATAAACGACCCGACATGAATATAGTGGCCGGCAAGATCTCGAAGCTTTATTTAGATTCGAAGACTTGGTCGGAGAAGATGAAAATTCCGACCAACATCACGTTTTCGTTGGCTCCTCGATAACCATTCAAGACTTCTGGTCCATTAAAATTAAAAAATTGATTCGTTTTTTTTTATAATTCCGACTAGATTTTATTAATTTTTGGTTCTTTAAAACAAAATTGATTGAGATATATGATTAAATAAACAGTCTTGCTGTACATTCTGTAAATTTACACGAGATTCGAAATTCTTTTTTGGGTACTAAATGAATTCATTCATTAAACTCAGAAAATCTGTTGTTAACAACTGTTCCTCTTATTTCAATAAAATTGTTCTCAATTTATCTAGGTTAAATTAAAAAGACCCCCCGTACTATGGGGTCTGAGACAAAGACTCCCTTTACTTTGTTTTGCAACAAAACCCCCCCGTATTATCACCGTGAGAGAAAGACTCCCTTCCGTTCCGTTAGCTTTCTATCTAAAAAAAGCCGTTACAATATTTTTTAATCTCCATACTACCCTTATAACAATTAGATGAGAAAAACACTGTTCATCTTTCCTGACATTCCAATACTATCGTTCCATTCCTTCACATTTCTCTATCTCCCTCTCTCTCCTCTCTCCCCCGATCTTATAGGGTTCGAGTTGCAGATACAATCGAGTCTATGTCGATTGGTTATGGTGGGTTAGCTAGTGCAGAGCACATCAGGAGCGTTAATGGGGTTGATGGCCAGGGACGACTGTGGAGTGGTCAGAGCCTTGTAATTCTGTTGCCATGCACATGCTTCAATAACACTAGTAATGGCATTACGACAGTTTATTTTTCGTATTTAGTGCACATAGGGGAGAGCTTAAGCCGCACCGGAGCAACGTATGGTACGACTGTAGCAGAGTTGGTGGCCATTAATGGGTTAACACATCCATCCTTCAAACTTCAAATCTTCAACACACCCATTGTTGAATTTAAGACGGCAAACGAGCAGTAGCGCAGAACATCAACAGTTTGGTCGGATTAGAGGATGTGCAGGTGGTGGAGCATTACTTCCTATCGATAAATGCATCGTTTTGCAACCGGAGAGCGAATTCATTAAGATAAGTACCCTGCCACCATCATTTCCAATACGTAGACATGCTCTAGTGCTTTAGTTTGAGATAAATTTTTGTTGCTATTTGGTTCATGAAAAGGTAAAAAAAAAATCAACTCTTTGTATTCTTGCCTTTTTTTTTGAAATTATATTGTTTCTGCTATTCCAAATCCAAAACCCAAAATGAGTTTGTTGGAAATCTTGGTAACTCCTCTTACGGAAGTGGTAAAGTGAATACTAATGTCTGTCAGGAGCCCTAGAAGAACCAGGTAGGTCTCACTGCGCCATGGGTTGCTCCTCCTCCCTTCCAGAAAACATGTCTTCTAGACGGTTGGATGGTTTTACTTCTGAGAATGTTGAAGCAACTGACTCAAAAAATTTACGAGTGAAATTGGTGCTTTTAGGGGACTCTAGTGTTGGCAAAAGCTGTATTGTTCTTCGTTTTGTTCGTGGACAGTTTGATCCATCATCCAAAGTGACTGTTGGAGCTTCATTTTTATCACAGACAGTAGCATTACAAGATTCTACAACAGTCAAGTTTGAAATATGAGAGACTGTAGGGCAAGAAAGATATGCTGCACTGGCCCCGCTTTACTTCCGAGGAGCTGCAATTGCAGTAGTTGTGTATGACATAACAAATCCACAGTCATTCATCAATACTCAGTACTGGGTTTAAGGAGCTACAAAAACATGGGAGCCCCGATATTGTCTTGGCTTTGGTAGGGAACAAAGCTGATCTCCAAGAAAAACGAGAAGTATCCATTGACAATGGTATGAACCATGCGGAGAAGAATGGGATGTTTTTTATTGAGACATCTGCAAAGACAATAGATAATATTAATCAGCTGTTTGAGGAAATTGCTAAAAGGTTGCCTCATGCTCCCTCTTCATGATTGTAGAAAGGACATCGATTGCACTACAGATTACAGAATTCCAATACCTCTCTTTCTTTTGCACTATACTTCTGAATTTGTTTATATCGTGAATTACCCTATTATCTTTTATCTATTTATAATGGGTTTTCGGTATGATTCAAAAAAAAAATGTTTATCGGGAAGCAGATTGGTTATATTTTTCATTATAGAAAGAACATCAACAACCTTAATGAACTCACAGAAATCTTAATTTCGAGGAGAGATCATACACAACAACTATTGAGTGCAGCTCAAACGAGAGGAGAGGAAGCCAACCGGTCGATAATGCAAACCTGGGTAGAAAGAATAGATTCCATATTAACACAAGTTCATAGTTGGTTTGCTAACCCTAAAAATGCATAGAGCAATAACACTAAATGTTTTATTGGATATTGTCCTACTCGTTATGTTTTGAGTAAAAGAACAGAGTTGAAGATAGTAGAGATCAATTCTCTAATTGGCGAAGCAAAACTGTTTATGAATGAGAGTTGAAGATAGTGGAGATCAATTCCTCCGTCCTTTCATTTCGGAGAGTTGGGAGAGAGAAAGAATGAGAGAGGACCGTGAAGGAGGGGAGGGAGGGGAAAAGAAGATAAAAAAGGAAAAACCATAGGTTAAATAGGTTTTAAGAGAAAAGGGGCAAAAAAAGAAAATAGAAAAAGTTTAATAGGGTATTTTGATAATTTAACGCATTCCGTCATCTGACTTAACGGTCAAGGGGGTCTTTGTTGCAAAACAAAATACAGGGGGTCTTTGTCACAGACCCCATAGTACAGAGAGGGTCTTTATAATTTACCCTAAAAAATAATAAAATAAAATATTCCTAACCTTTGTTTAACTAATTAATTTACTCTTAATCCTTCTTTAATTAATTAAATTAGAAGTATTCTTTTATGTTCTACCACGCCATCAGTGATGAAATCCACCACCGGGCGGCGGGGACTAAAGGATTATGAACAACCGGGTCGGGTTAGATTCGGGTCAAGACATTCTTTGGTTCATTTTAGGTAGGGTCGATTTTCAGGTTGGATGAGCAAAGGCTGGATCCTAGCACTCCCTAAATATTCAGATTTGGATTGATCCAAGGTCAAATGGGTCGATCATTCAACTGCCCAGATCAATTGGTCTTTAATTAAATCAATGATTTTTTTATGAAAAATATGGATTTAACCATTCAATTGTTCAGATCAACACCGGTTTGAAAATGGTAGTTTGAAAATATGGATCTGATGGTGACTCAATCCAATCCGAACATATCAGGTCAGACTGCCTTTCTACTTGGGGTCACTAGATTGGGCCATTGGGGACCTTAACCCGTTTTTTTTGGTTGGATCGATTTTTTGCCAGTCATGGAATTGGAGTTGGAGGTGATGATTTTCATTTCTGCCGCGAAATTCCAATTCCATAAAACGAGAGTTTGGCGCTGAAAGTGAAAGCGGAATGAAGCTAAAGATTTGCATATTTGAACGGGAAGAAAACATCAATGAACACACAAGGTGGATAACGTCATATGATGACCTTTTCTTTATATGTATGATGTATGATAATTTGATTATTGAATAAGATAAATTTAAGAAGAAGAAGAAGAATTCATAGCTTCGACTCCATCTCATGGTGGGTTGGTATAATGGGCCTACCTGAAAAAAGTCCAAACAAAAGCTCAGATGGGGCCCAAAAACAGTTTTCATGTGTCCTGCAGTTCATTCCCACTACCCTCTAATCAATAGCTTAGTTTAAACTTTAGCGACCTAACAGTGTACAATGTAAAAAAGGATAGAAATAATAATTGAATTTTAAATAATTGATAGCCTAGAAAACTTTTTACGCCTATCAATCAGAGCCTAAGGCTCAGTTTCGAAGGAGTACAAATATAAATATAAATATGTACAGTATAAAACTTTGTATTTTGTATTATTTTGCATATATTTGTATTGTACATATTTCGATTTGTACTTTTTACAAACTGAGCGTAAAGGTTTTGGAACTATTTATACAAATTGTTGACCAACATGTGTTGTTGTAACCATGAGATTTTCCCAAAGGCCATGTTTGGTTTGAAGGAAAAGATAGGGAAAGGAAGGTGATGAGGGCAGATTTGGCCCTCCAGTGAAATTGCGACACGTGGCACCTTGTGACAACTAGTTAAACACCCAAGCAACAACTTACCAAGTTGGTGTCCCACTCGGGCACCGGTCTGGCCGGCTTGGCACGACCTGCGCGCGACCTGGCGCGGCCTGCGCGTGACTTGGCCGACCTGGATCGGCTTGGCACATGATCCGACCTAGCTGCCCATAAGACGCCCACCGATAAACTCGACATGCATACCCCCCGAGCTCAGTATCTCACCAAGGAGCTCGGTAGCTCACCAGAGCTCGCCAAAGAGCCAGGCAGCTCGGCAGAGCTCGCCACAAGCAGCTCGGCATATCTCCCCCGGGCAGCTCGCCACTTATAGGGTAGCTCGGTACAGGAGTAGTTTGGTGTATCGCAAGAAGATCTCCTGCCTAACAACCTAGCCTAGACTCCAACCTACCGACTGACACAGGCGCCGACCTGACAATCTGGCCTAGACACCGACCCGCCGACTGACACAGACGCCGACTTGACAACCTGGCCCAGACACCAACCTGCCGACTGACGCAGGCGCCGCCCTGACAACCTGGCCCAGGCGCCGACCTGGCCGCCTGACACAAGCATCAGCCTGACGACCTCGAGGAGTTCATCACCGTACCCCGGTTCTGACGAGATGTGACGAGTCTTACTGTTTGGAGGCTTTTCACCCACCTAACCCACGAGGACTCCGGTATATAAAGACCTCACCCCCCAAAGGGGAGGGGGAGGGGAAAAAAGGATGGTAACCCCT